TGGCGAGTCCCGGTCCCCGCAGGCTTCTGGAGAGTGGCTCCCAGGCCCGGATGCTGGGACGTTAAGCTCGTTCTGTTGATGGATGCTCCATGTCCTGGTGCCTAGCTCTGCCCCCAGGACACACCAGGGAGAGCTCTGTCCTGTCTCTCCTCCCCTAGCTTCACACAGCCCTCGGCGGCTCCCTGCTCACCCTGCCCGAGTCCCTGGCCTCACACCTGCTGTGGCTGTCTCACGTCTCCATTCGGGCCGCCTTCCCCAACCTGGAATGCTCTCCTGCCTTTCCTCCTCATTCCGCCCGCTCCACTTCTGCTGGTCTTGGAGCGCCGGCTCTGAGCCCTTGGCTGACCGGGCCTGGCCCTGCTGGCCATTACGAGCAGGGGGTCCCTTGTGGTCTGTGCAGTGCCCGGTGCGGGCCAGGCCTGGGCTGCTTGCTGGTGCCGGGTGAATTGCATGGGGCGCCTTACCCTGTGGGGCCGAGGGACAGACGTGGCCCTCGTGCTCAGGCAAGGGGGGTTCCGAGTCGGTCAAGTTGGTGTCCCAGCCCCACCACTGCCAGCTGTGTGACCTTGGGCCGGCAACATGGCCCTCTGAGCCTCGGTGTCCTCTGTCCTGCGGGGACAGCAGGAGGACGGACCGAGACCATGCATGTGGTCGCTTAGCTCGGCGCCTGGCCGGTCGGCGCCCCAGCAGTGCAGCCGCAGCGAGCGGGTCTTCGCAGCCGGGTCCTGGTTTCTGGCACTCACCGGTCCTTCACTGTTACAGAAAAAGGGTGTGAAGCGGAAAGCAGACACGACCACCCCCACCACGTCCGCCATCACTGCCAGCCGAAATGAGTCGCCCCCACCACCGTCCGACCCCAAGCAGGCCAAGGTGGTGGCCCGGCGGGAGAGCGGGGGCCGCCCCATCAAGCCGCCCAAGAAGGACCTGGAGGATGGCGAGGTGCCCCAGCACGCGGGCAAGAGGGGCAAGTTGTCAGAGCACCTGCGCTACTGTGACAGCATCCTCAAGGAGATGCTGTCCAAGAAGCACGCCGCCTACGCCTGGCCCTTCTACAAGCCGGTGGACGCCGAGGCCCTGGAGCTGCACGACTACCACGACATCATCAAGCACCCCATGGACCTCAGCACCGTCAAAGTATGTGCTCCTCCCGCTTCCCGGCAGCGGGGCTCAGGCGGCTGGCGGCCTGTCTGCAGGGTGGGGAGGACACGCGGCTCTGCTGTGGTCACTGGCTCAGCTGGTGGTCTTTCGAGCCCACTGTGTTGCCCGCCTGTCCTCGTCGCCCACAGAGGTGCCCCAGGTTGGGGAGGTACGTGCAGGTTGCTTCCCTCCGCTTGACAGGGGCACGTCACAGCGGAGACACGGGTGGGATGGGTCACTTCTGGCCCTTAGTTGTCTCTGAGCCCACCTCCTCACAGGCAGAAGGGGACCCTGAGTGGTGGTGGCCAAGTGAGGACGAGGGCCCAGGGCTCCCCTCCCAAGCCAGGTCATCCTGAGGCAGATGCTTCGGAGCCAGCAGTGTTCTGTGCCAGGTCAGGGCCTGCTGTGTCTGTGCAGAGAATGGGCTTGACCTGGGCACGTTGGAGACTGGGGGGTGGTGGCTCTGGGCTGGGATGACACCCCCAGAGCTCTCGGCACCCTGCCTTCTGCGGGGAGGGCCGAGGCAGTCCCTGGCAGTGGGGCAGCGGCCCCTCCTTCCTGGAAAGCTGCTGCCCACAGGCAGGCTTTGTTTCTGTTGTGAGAACAGGCCCTGTTGTCTACAGTCCCTCCTGATTAAAGCCTTTTCTCTCCCTGTGGGTTGTGGATTTCAGGGACAGGACAGAGCTGGCCACCCAAGGGCCGGTGCTTACTCAGGTAAAGCAGGAAGCTGGGGCTCCCACTGGGCTGCCTGGGTGGGAGGCTAGGGTGGACCTGCAGCCCCGGAGCTGCCCCAGCCTGGATCCAGCCTCCGCAGCCCAGGTTCGTGCGTCTCTGCCGTGGTGTGGCAACAGGACTACCTGGTGCACGTGGGTCCCGAGTTGGAGCTGGAGCGAGATTTGGCTTAATTCTGTTTCCATCAAAGGGTTCTGTTTACCCTTGAAATCAGAGTAGAGAGGTTGTAGAAATTCAGTTCACTTTAACATCATGGTTTATTTTGTTTGCACCATCCAATCTCCGCCCAGGCTTGGGGATGAGAGGGATGTGCCCACAGGTCCGAGCGGCCAGCCCCTTGTGTGAACAGAGTGGGGGAGGGGCTGGATGGCCCCCGGGTCTTAAAGGTGGCTGCACAGGGAGGGGCAGGCACCCTTGTCAGGCTGGGCTTTGTCCCAGCATAGGGTCTCACCAAGAGTGAGTGCTCTCCCGACATCTGACCCCTGTGTTCACAGTGACCCGGCCAGCTCTCCCTGGGCATGCACCTGTGGGTGCCAGCAGGGGTCCTGCAGTTACTTAGCCCCTGCTGCAGTGGGCACTTGGGCTGGAGTCCAGCCACTGTGGCTCCCTTGCATGCAGACCCCAGCTCCACCAGGGGCTGGGCCCCCGGTCCCTGATTCATGGACTCACACCCTCAGAAGTAGTTCATCCATTGGCACTGATGGTCAGCCACTCTCCATCAGTGATGGAGATGTGATGAGATGTCCCTTGCTGTCCTCACTCCACCCTCCACGTGTGCTGGCCACTCCCTGTCCAGCACTGCCCAGCTCTGCACGCCTGCGCGTCCTCCCACCTGCGCGCTTGGCGCTCTGCTGGATTGCGGCCGCAGCTCCGTGTGCTGGAGCCAAGTAGGGTCTGAGTGGTCTCTGCCACGGGTGTCTGTGGGTGTGGTCCTTCATGCCCCGTTGCCTTCCACCCCTGCAGGGGCCTGGGCGCTGCCACAGGGTGCAGTGTGGAGTCCCTGGTGGCCACCCGGGACCCCGAGGACAGTCTGCTGTTTCGTGAGGAGCATTAGTTAACAGTTCCTAGTTTGGAACAGAGTGGGGAGATCCATTCTGTGAACCAGAGGCTCCCTGGGTTGGCTAAGAATGGCTTTCTCTAGAAGCTCCTTGCTGGCCCCACAGACAGCAGTGCAGAACTTAGAAACATGCAGGATGGAAACCCCCAACTGGCAGGGACCAAGCTGTGGCTGGGGGTCCAGGATGTCTGAGCACATACTCTTCCAGCCTCGGGGAGTAGGGGGGACAGCTGGCTCCGTGGGGCCCAGACTCGTCCCTCTCTTCGGGCTCCCGTATACGGAGTCTGGGGTGTCCTGCCTGGGCTGGCGGTGGCATTCCGAGAATCCCAAGTCTGCCCTAGTGGGGTCCGGCTGGGAGCCGTGTGCCTGCTGTGCCACTCAGGCCTTGCCACTTGTGTGTGTTGCAGAGGAAGATGGACAGCCGTGAGTACCCAGATGCACAGGGCTTTGCCGCCGACATCCGATTAATGTTCTCCAACTGCTATAAGTACAACCCTCCGGACCACGAGGTGGTGGCCATGGCCAGGAAGCTGCAGGTAACCTGAGGCCGGGCACAGTGGTTGACAGCTCAGGTCAGCACAGTGGCGTCCAGGCCCCAGGTATGGGAGTGGCGCCCTGTAGGATGGACGTGCATAAGTTAGAGAATACCCAGCAGGTGCCTGAGGCCCCAGCTCAGCACAGTTCTGAGTGGCAGCAAGTACTGGCCCAGCTCTGAACCTAGTTCTTGGGCACAGAGGGCAATGAGCCACCTCTGCCTCCCTGTTTGTCCCACAGCTTCCTTGATAGGTCTCTGTGCCAAGGGGGACTGTCAGCGAGGCCTGTGGGTGATGGTTTTAAGGTGACAATTATTTGGGTAGCTTTTTGTTTTCCAACAACGAAAGTAAAAGGCATGTTGTAGAAAATGAGAGTGGGACGCATGGGGTGTCTTTGGGGGAAACAGGCATGACCTCAGCCTGGAACTCCTGCTGGGGACGGTGTCAACGTGTGCACCATCACCATCCCGGAGCTGTGTGTCTGCGTGAGCGTGTGCTCACGTCACCTTCCCAGAGCTGTGTGAACGTGAACGTGTGCACAGTCACCCTCCAGGAGCTCTGTGTGCGTGAACGTGTGCACCATCACCCTCCTGGAGCTGCGTGTGTGCGTGAGCGTGTGCACAAGTCACCTTCCCAGAGCCGTTTGGGTGTTTTTTTTGTTTCTGTTTTTTTTTTTTAAGAATTATTTTATTTTATTTAACTATATTCATTCATTTATTTCATTTTTTAAATTTGTCCAGAGAGTGACAGAGCGAGAGAGAGAGAGAGAGGGAAAGTGAGAGAGCAAGCCTCCAGGTCCAGGCCTTGAACCGTGGTCGGCCACGTGGGAGTCCAGCGTCCTTAACCATCACGCCACCTGCCGGCCCCCTGTTTGGGTGTTTGAATGTGTGCATAATTCATCCTCCATAGCTGTATGTGTGTGTGTGTGTGTGTGTATGTGTGAACGTGTACACAGGTCACCCTCCCAGAGCTGTTTGTATGTGTGAACGTGTTCACAAATCACTCTGCAGGAGCTGTTTGTGTGTGTGAATGTGTACAAAAGGCACTCCCGGAGCTGTCTGTGTGCATGAACGTGTGCACAGTCACCCTACCAGAGTTTGTGTGTGTGCGAATGCACAGTCACCCTCCCGGAGCTGTCTGTGTGTGCGTGTGCTTTTCTGCCGCAGTCTGGGTGCTACGCACTTGTGGCAGGCCCCCGGCTCCTTCCCCAGGTGTTGTCCACCCTCCTGGATCGGGCACTCAGGTCCCTCCCCCAGGTGCTGTCTGCTGCTCCATGTCCCATGTCCCACTGAGGAAGGATCGGTTCTGGAGGTCCCATTGCACTCAGAGGAAACTACCAAGACCCTTGGTTGTTTCTTCTTGATTTTGTTCTATACGTCACAGAGACAGGCACCCCACAAGGTCCTCACTCTGCCCTCCACCCCAGGCTTGGCCAGCCCAGATGACAGGCATGTGTGGGTAGGGGCCATCCACTCTGAGCCTGGCCAGCCCCGGTCATGGGCGTGCATGGATGGGGCCATCCACCCTGAGCGTGGCCGTGCTCAGTGTATACATGACCTTGGGGACAAGAGCCCAGGCCCTCCCCACTGTCCCAGTACTGTACAGCTTGGCATTCC